TGTTATAGAGATAATTGCTTCTAACATCCATGCAAGACCTGATAGTCCACCAAAACTGCCCCTTTTAGATTAACAGAGCTTAAAAGCTTTCATCTTTGAGAGAAAGTCACTACTCTTGGTTCAGATCTGAAAAAAATCTGCAGCTGTTTCTGTCCATCCTTTTCACTATTGGAAGTTAAATCGAGGTTATGGGTCTGAATAGTGTTGCATGTACATGAATAGTTTGATATGAGTTTAACTAAGTCTGCTGGGAACTAAGGTAAACAGCACGGTTCACTCTAAGCTTAGTGCCATTAAAATCAGTATTTCCTCTTTGAGGTAGATTAAAGTTAAAATTGATCCACTGTCTCTCACAGTTTTGGGGCATTTTGATACACTTTGTGCAGTACAACACATGTTGACAGCTTTATGACACCAAAACAAACGTGACTGTCAAAAAGTTAAGGGGTGCACTTTTAGGGGATGAGACGTCCCTCATGTTGTCAGAAATCGACATCTTGACGAATTTAGATGAAAGGAAAAAGTACGCCAACATTTTTAAAACAGTGGAAAACTCGTACGGGTAAAAATGTGCATAATGAAAGGAATGTCAGTGTCACATTGTGGTCTGATTGGGCTGGTGTGCATGTAATGTAAATTGACTTGTTCTACTCATTGATTCTACTCATAAATACCTTAATTTTGTTCTAGTTTCTTAAACTAGCCAAGGATTTAGTCAGGTCATTGTGTGCATGTAAACACAGTCATTTACCAGCTATGATAATGTCAATTACCTGTTACTTATTATTGTGGTGTTCTGGCTAATGAGCTGTCAAGTTTGTTTACTAATGTCTTACAAGCTAACCAATTTCACACTTACAAAAAAAATTAGATGTATAAAAGTTATTAACATGCATTTTAACTAACTAACATTTGTAGAAGTGTGTTATCAGTTAGAGCCATCTCCCTTTCTTTCAGCTGCAGGCCAGTTTTGTTTGCTGCAGATGGAACCGATTTAAAATGCGTTAAATCAGGGTCTCCCTGTTCTGAGAAGGCAGTGTTGTCTTCCCTAAGCTAATTATTTACTAATTATTATACCCTGAATGTGTTGAGTCAGGTGTGTGTGTGTGCTGGGAAAATGTTTAAGGGAAATTGTTTAGTTAAAAAAATTAATAAATAAACAAATCATTGACAGTGGTATCAATCTGTCAGTTCAACATTTGCGGCAACCAGCAGGTTTTCGTACAAAAACATCTTGTGGTAAACCCTTTGAGCAGTAGCCAATTCCAAAAAAGAAAAATAAATATAGACCTAAATATAGACCTGATCTAAGTCCGTGTGTTTTCTGTTTGTGGATCACTGAGAAAGTAACAACCCGATATGGTGCTTAGCTGTAATTTCCTTGCTGATAGCCCTCGTGTTGTGTTTTTCTGAAGGAGTAATTTTTCCTTTTAACATAATTGAACACATTTTCTTGTTTGGAGGAAATTAATTTGTCTGTAAAGAACTCAGCTTCAGAAAAAATCTTTTCACAATGTTTATTATGAAATAATATCATTATTATGTTTATGAATGTGATTGTAAGTTTCTTTTGTTTTTGCCCTTTTCTCAGCCGGGCTCAGATAGTGGAACTACAGCTGTGGTGGCCCTTATCCGCGGGAAGCAGCTGATAGTAGCTAATGCTGGAGACTCCCGCTGTGTGGTCTCAGAGAGAGGAAAAGCAGTAGACATGTCCTACGACCACAAACCAGAAGATGAACTGGAGCTTGCCAGAATAAAGAACGCAGGGGGCAAGGTGACCATGGATGGCCGGGTCAATGGAGGCCTTAACCTCTCCAGAGCCATTGGTGAGTAGATTCATCACTACTTCACTGTCATTTTAAACCTTTTTTATTATTATTATTATGTACTAAAACCTTTAATGGTTGAAGTACTTTGTTCTCTTTTATGTGTAGAACACAGTTACATTAATTGTCACAATATTGTTTTTAGGGGACCACTTTTATAAGAGGAACAAAGCCCTTCCACCTGAAGAACAGATGATCTCTGCTTTTCCGGATGTCAAAGTGCTGACACTTAATGAAGAGCATGAATTCATGGTTGTTGCCTGTGATGGCATCTGGTGAGACTTTTAAGACTTCTCTCAAAAGTCTGCTGCTCTTGTCTGTAGAATCACATAATTACTGCAGTGCTCTCATGTTTTCATCGTCATTTGAAACGTATTAGAATCTGGTTTATGCTGAGTGTTGAATGTCTGTGCAAACTTCAGCTACAACAGTCTATCAATGTAGACTACTGTTCAACAGTTTAGAATACTGTGTTGTATTAACGGTATGTTTTTTATCATACAGTAATAACTCAAACGATATAGGTTTAAATCTTGTAGACACCTAAAGTTTAAGGATTTTGACTTCGTGTATATACTATAATTTCCTATTTGTAATAGTTTTGTCAATCTTCTACTTTAAAACTTACTATTTCAAATATGAGGCATTCTGGATGTTAATTCTAACATTGTTTATACAGGCTTCAGTCATTTCAGAATCATCTGTTCATCTTTTTTTTATGTTGTTCTGAAGTTGGACAGATCTAGTATGGTGAATTCATTTTATATATTTGTCTAAATCCAAATTGGTTTTGTATTGTAGAAAATGTTTGAAATCTGATTCCGCACTTTTGAACAATACTGTGGACACCAGTAAAGTTCAACAAATTGTGAAACCCTTTCTTTATGGCCTTGTCATGCTGAAACAGGAACGAGCCTTCTCCAAACTCTTACCACATCATTTTGAGTGGAGAGCACAAAGAGTATAGAACTTCTAATTCTTCTACTAAACATCTTTGTGTATGTACACACACATCGTTGCTGTCGAAAGAAAACCTCATATCTTCATTTTTTTTGGTAGTTTTTCAGTTTGACATCATTTGAAAATGCATGTTGCTTTTTACATTGTGTGTGCATTTCATGAAGAAAGGCCCAAAATGACTTGGGGGGGAAAAAAGTCTGGTTTCATTGACTTACATTACAAGTAAAGTAGGTTTTTTGCTTCTCCTGTAAAGTTACCATTTTGGAGATACGAGGTTTTCTTCCAACAACAGTGCTATGTATGTTATGTATGTACATGTGATGTCTTCACTTGTCACTAACGTAACTGTTATCTTACAGGAACGTAATGAGCAGTCAGGAGGTTGTGGACTTTGTAAGTGAGAGATTGAAACCTGAAGGTAGTGAAGCCAAACCACTGTCTGCCATTATTGAAGAGGTAAGCACTAAATCAGTGCACCTTAGACAAATGTTTCCCTATTAAAAATGATTGGGGTCATTGTCTTTAGTAATTAGCATGCGTTAGTTATGTCAGCTGATCGATGATTTCCCAAACCGCTAAAGGGTTTTTGGAAAGGAGCTTTTTTCCCTTTAGGGTTAAATTAGAGAAAGCAAAGATAAACCAAAACTTATTCCATTCTGACACTGACCTGGACACACAGTAGATTGGTTCATTTTGTCAGTATGACATTGTTGTACTGGCTTTTTCTTCAGCAGGCCACAGCATAGTTTCCTTTAAGTTTGTTTTAATCCTAATTGCCTGTATGAGTTCTATACTTCGTATTACTGAATAAGCTATTGCACTGCTTAAAGTAATGTTTGCTTTACAAAGCTATGCTTGATGGGAAGTGCGTGTAATGAGAAACACAGAAAGCAGAATTATTTAGAAATGACTCTGAATCTGTTCTTTTTTTCTAGTTGCTTGACCACTGCTTAGCACCAGACACATCTGGGGACGGTACAGGCTGCGACAACATGACCTGCATGATCGTCACCTTCTCCCCACATGCTGGCAGCAATGTGGCTGAGAACACCAAGAAGCGGAAGCTGGATGAGCAGGTGTCCGAGGAGAACTGCAGTGACGGCAAAAAATCCAAAACTGAATAGAGCCACTGTCCTAGAACCTGAGGTTCTTTTAACGCTCTTTTGATGAAGACGAAATTGGACGCTATCTACTTCTCTGTACACAACCCTCACTGGAATTTGTTTTTTTTTATGGATTGATTCCCCAAGAAAGAATGTTTTAGTTTTAAACAATTTGAAGGTGCAAGGAAATCGAACTGTAAACCAGCCATCTTTTCTTGTTTGTTTTTTTTTGTTTTGTTTTGTTTTTGTAATAATTCGTTTAGCAGGCCCATGTCAATGTGTCCACTTGGATGAGTGCAGCTGTATCTCAGCAGAGGTACAGCATTACACGAAAGTCTGTGAATCCTTATGTACTCTGTCTGTTCACATACCCTTGTATATAGTACATAGTGTTTCCAGCAACATATTTCTTTTCTGTTCCATTTATTGTGAGTATTCGTGACTTCCTCTTGACACCCATATGTAATTGTATTCAAATACATTTTTTTGTAAATTATGCGATGAATGCTATCTTGTATTAATTTTAAGGTAAAGACCATATTTGTTCATATGAAGCCATTTAGCTTGAATCTTAAAAAATGCAATCTGGTTTGAAACAAATTACAATGACATTCCTTTTGCTTTGGTTTTGTTTAAGAAAACATTGACAAGTTAAGCTCTGCAAGCACAATTCTCAGTAAGTGATGTGGCAGTTGCAGAGTAAATGGTTACATGCTGGCTACATGAAATGGAGGAAAAATGATTTAAAGTTGAGATTATCTGCAAATAATCATTTAGGCAGTGCAGCTATGAGATGGGACCCCTGGCACAAAGGGATTGCCACTCATCTGTTTTACGTTTTCAGCCTCAACTCTCACGTAGCTCAATAAGGTTTCTATACAAGGTATTTTGGAAAATATATTTTGGTACTTTTAAAGCATCTTTGTGAGATCTCCAAGAAAACAGTGAACATTGCTCAGAATGACACCTTTTCCTGAAACAATAAACAAGTGGAGACATACTTGTCTCATGCTTTTCTTTGTTGCATCAAAGACACGGCAGGTGTACTTGTCTACATAAATGAATTCCATGTTTTTTAGAGAATATTAAGGCTGTATATATTGAAAATGAATACTCAAAATACAGATTTTATTGAAATTCCATTCTACTTTTTTGACAAACATACACGAGACCACCACAGTATCCCTGTCATTAAAAAAAAAATCCTAACACTATCAGCGGACCATTACATTTTGGGAACATATCATATTGAACGGATCAATAAAAACGTCTTACAAAATCTTACATTATCTTCCATTAAAAGTTGAGTTAAATTACCATTTTGGAGACAGGAAGGCTTGTAATGACAGCAAGAATATTACTACATCACTTATTATAAAATGTTTATAAAAAAAGGACATAATTCAACACTTCAAATACATGACTGATACATAGTGAAGGGTTTTCACTTTAGTGAAAAAGGCCTAAATTCCCTGTAGTTCACGCTAAAGTTCACCAGAGTGGTGCTCGCCTAAACATTCCCTCCCAGCAGCACGACTCTGCCATCTGTTAAAACAGGAAAATACACATTTAAAACACTGTAATTCCATCTCACTACACTATGTTAGAAATATGTTTTGAATTACCAAAACCTGAACTGCAAAGACATCTCTATTTTTTGTCATTGCCAGTTATTGCTAGTAAACGGTGACTCCAGCGTGTGAACTCAAATAAACACTTAGTTAAATTGTTTATCCAAAAGTGGGTGTAGACACCTGCTTATTCAGTGTGTCTTCTGAAATCAAGGATATTAATACAGAGTCTGTTCACCTTTGCTGCAGTTTCAGCCTCTACCCCTCTAGGAAGGATCTGCACTACATGTAGAAACGTTGCTGTGAGGATCTGATTGCAGCCACAAAACCATTAGTGAGGTCAGGTACTGATGTTGGACGATTACTTCTGGATCACAAACGCCACTCTAACTCATCCCAAAGGTACTGGATGGAGCTCCATCACTGCAGAGAATGCAGCTCCACTGCTCTACAGCTCAATGCTGGCGGTCTTTACGCCCCTCTAGCTGATGCTTGGCATTGGGCATGGAGACTTAAGGCTCGTGTAGGTGCTCCAGAGCATCCCATTCTATTGGTCAGTGCTGTTTTATGGAGATTATAAGCTCCATAATGCTGTGTTAGCATTGTGTGCACCTTACAGTAACTAAATTCCCCAATTAGGAAGGCTGTCTGTATTCTTTTGGACATACTGTGTATCAATAGCTTTGTGATGCTTGTAAAGTGTAAAAACACTCACCTGCATTCTTTTGTGAAGAAATATTAGCTTCTGGTTCAACAAGTCAATGTCCTGCAAAAACACGAATTAGACTGGAATTAATAGAAAAGTAGCTTTTTTGCTTCTGAGTGTTCATTAGGACTGTAAGAAGAGACTATTTGAATGTCTGTTATGACTGTTTCACCTTTATCATCTTGTCATGTTGTTTTTGCTTGATTTGAGGAAGGAGCTCCTCCAGCCTTTCAATCTAAAATGACAGTAACCATATTAAAGGGGAATTCCACTAAACTTTCAAAATTGTGGCATAATTTAATGATTGAGATGTAAACGAAGTCACATAGAGTGGTCCAGGGTTCATGATGTCTACAGAACACATACAGCCATTTTACTATCCAAAACAACCAGTGAACCTACACATATCCTTTGAATTCTTTATGTAATGTTGATCATAGTAAAATATTGCTAATTTTGAAAAAACATGCTTTCTTTGGGGAATATTTTGCCTTACAGCACGCTGCATGTACCTCTCCACCAGGAATGGATATTAAAAGATATTTTTAAAAGGCCAAAATCTTATCTCAGACCTATCATAAGACAGTGTCTCAGCTCATTAATATATTTCATGTAATAATTGTGAGGGAGCTTTAAGAAGCATTAAACTCTTCAGACATCTAGTTCCTATCACCACTGTTGTGATCAGATCTGTCTCTACAAGTCTCTCTAGAATGGAGCTTTTCACACCAAACCACTCTGAATGACTCTGTTTCCATCTTAACCGTTTAATCATGCAGACGTTTAAAAAAAAATGACCAGACTAAATCAGTACCTTGACCTACAAACAGCTATGCATGCAGTGTTTAAATGAAAATGAAAACTGTGATTTTCTTTCTTTAGAATTCAGTAAAAACATATGAGATTTCAGCCTGTTTTCTTACCCTTCTCACAATACCCTGCAGTCTTGACTTCAAGCTTCTATGAATGACTGTCATGGCGATACTTCTGGGCCTGGCATTAACTTTAAACAGAAACATCATGAGTCAGAGACAGTTTGAATGCAGAACTGTAAAACTGTAAAATCATTAGGTTATTAGAAAACACCTTTAAGGATTAAAGGGCCCATATCATTGCTGTTAAAAAAAACTTCTGCTCTTTACATTGTGTGAACTTTAAAATTGCTATATATAAATGATTCTTGTATTGCCTCATTTAAAAAGCAGTCCAGGCTGAAACACTCCTTGTAACTTCGGTGTGAGTGGGTGGGGCTAAACTGCTGTAGGCTGAATAGGCACATATATGTAAATGCACTGTTTTTTGTGACATCACAGAAACAATGAATTCAAAATGGGCTGTTTTTCAAGCTTGGTATTTATATATGGATTGTATGGACTGAATCCTGCCTTCCGCCCAATGACAGCTGGGATAGGCTCCAGCACCCCACCGTGACCCAGAAGGATAAGCGGTTTAGAAGATGTATGTATGTATGTATGTATGGACTGAGAAGGGAGACCTCAAACTCCTTTATTTCAAAACAGCAAGGAAAATGAGGTTCTCCAGGAGATGGGCCCTTTAAATCAAAATAGCTTTACCGTAAAACCACTATACAATCGTAATCATACCATGCTGAAAGTATTTTGCCACCTCCAAGACATAAGGCCTGAATAGTAACAGATACAAAATCTTAATGAATGAAAAAGATAATGTTATACGTAATGCAACACAGAAAGTAACATTACAAAAATCTAATATCCTAATCATGTAGATAAATGAGGCACGGTAAAAGTAAAGACGATAGAGTTCTTTTTAATTAGGTTATATTCCCAAATACAAATGGACTTACATTTGCTTGCTGTTCGCTGGTATGCAACTGTTCAAAGGGATTAAAAAGCCTCGGCTGTTTCGTATCTGGGATGAGACATTTCTATCATTCAGCAAAATGTGATCCAGATATACTTTTACAGAAATCATTTAAAAAAAAAACGTGAATTAGTTCATATTAAGCAGTAGTCAGTCATGTTTCTCAAAATACCTTGAATGTCACCTCAGCAACGTCCAGTCTGAAAGAATGGGCTAAGATCTGTGAAGAAATTGAGAAATATTTAACTGTCTCCATCTCTTGGACAGTCAAAATACAAAGGAGAAGAACAGGATGTGAAAATGTGTGGAAACAAGTACAGACAGGAGAATAAGGACAACAACAACAACATGATCATGATGATCATGACAATGATGGTAAAGAGGATGATGACAGTGGTGTGACAAGGATCCCCTAGTACACAAAAAAAGCCCCCAATTAAAAAAATCACATTGTAATTGGCTCGATTACTTGCAATTGTTATGTCTCAAACAAGTTGATGCTCTCAAGGCATAACACTTCACCTACTAGCATCTAAGACTAACTATTTCAGACCAGCTATTTTAGAATTATAAATAATAAATATATGTTGCAGGTTGTGTGGGATGGTAAAATGGCTGCCATGGATGAGCTGCATTATGAATCAAAGGGAGATAAATAGATGTCAACATGGATAGATGTAGTATGATGGAAACTAGTGGGGTACACTAGATGGCCAAAGGTATGTGGACACCCCTCCTGATTATTGAGTCCATGTATTTCAGACCCACTATTAGCAGGTGTATAAAGTCAAGCACATAGCCATGCAATCTCAAACGCTGGCAGGAGAACTGTTCATACTGAAGAGCTCAGTAACTTTAAACATAGGATGCCGCCTTTGCCACAAGTCAGTTTGTGAAACTTCTGCCCTGGTCAACTGAAAGCACTTTTATTACGAAATGGAAGCATCTAGGAGGAACAATTGACACCTGCAAACTCACATAGCACATAAATATTGCCTATCCTCTATTTTGTCACTCACTACAGATTCCAAACTGCCTCTGGAGGCAACATCAGCACAAGGACGGTGCATCAAGAGTTTCATGAAATGAGTTTCCATGGCCAAGCAGCTGCACACAAGCCTAAGATCGCTATGTTCAATGCCAAGCGTCGGCTGGAGTGATGTAAAGCATACCACCACTGGACTCGGGAGCAGTGGAAACATGTTCTCTTGTGTAATAATCACATTATATAGCAGTCTGATGGATGAATCTTGGTCTGGCAGATGCCAAGAGAATGCTACCTACTGCATAGTGCTGACAGTAAAGTTTGGTGGAGGTGGGATAATGGGCTGGGGCTGTTAATGCTACAGCAAACAAAGATATTTTAGACAATTATATGCTTCCAACTTTGTGGCAACCGTTTGGCAAAGGCCCTTTCCTGTTCCAGCATTTCTGTGCTCCTGTGCACAAAACGAGCTCCACAGACATGGTTTGAGGAGTTTGGTGTGGAGGAACTCCAGTGGCCTACACAGAGTCCTGACCTCAACCCCAATGAACACATTTGGGATGAAATGTCAGCTGTGAGCCAGGCCTTCTCCTCCCACATCAGTGCCTGACTTCACAAATAATCTTTTGAGAGAATGGGCACAAATCCCCACAGATACACTCCAAAATCTTGTGAAAAGCCTTCCCAGAAGAGTGGGGGCTGTTATAGTCGACTAAGGGAAGGGCTAACTGCATATTAATGCCCATGGTTATGGAATAAGATGTCCAACAAGCTTATATAGGAGGGATAATCAGGTGTCTACATACTTCTGGCCATAGAGTGTATGTTATTAAAGGGGAATTGAATAGATTTTTCAAAACTGCTGCGTAATTCAGTTGTTGTTAGTAGTGGTTAGATGTGAAATAGCTCATTGTGGAGAAATGTTCCAACTCAGATTTCTTTGTAGTGATGGTGAAAGCATCAGGGGTTGTGTTGTCTACAATGCAAATATATCCATTTTATTTACTATCCTAAAGGACCAGTGAACCAACACGTGCCCCCGGAGTTTTTATATGTAATGTTGATATTAGTAAAATAGTGGTAAACAACACATTTTATTTCTCTTTTTGGGAAAAACCTCCTCAAAACTATCATAAAACAATGTCTCAGACATCAGTCAGCATATTCATAACCATTTTATGTAACATCTTTCTGTAAGGGAGCTTTCAGAAGCATCAAATGCTTCGGATGTCTGGTTTCTACTCTGAATGACTTTGTTTACACCTTACCAACTGAATTATACAGAAACTTTGAAAAATCGGTGGAAGAAATTAGATCTGAGTTGTGGGTGTACAATTGTGTCAGTACCCCATTTAAAATTTTTGTGGGCCTGGTCATCATGGGTCCCCTGTGCCCCAACCCCTCTCCCTCCAAGTACTTACACCACTGTATGATGAGATGACGATGATGATGATGATGATGACCCACCTGTCTTACTGTGGTCATTTTTGTCCCTCGTGGAATGTGGACCTCTCTTAGTGCTGTAACTCTGTCATCTACAAAACAAACCAGTCATCTCTCAGTACTGGACAGCTATAACGGCCCAGCCAGCTGCTTTATTGTACTGCTTCATTCAAGTTTGATCAAAATGAAAATGAACTTTAGTTAAATAACATTACAAGAACAGATACAGGTGTAAATGTGCTTTTTAAACGGCAGATCCTTCAACAATTTTTCCTGCCCATCTAAAGGTCCTATCAAGCATGTGCAAATCATTAGTTTAGCGCAGTAACTTTTGTTTTTTTATGTTAATTCAATACAGACTAAGCTTAATAATGCTATTTAACCCTGACAGGGTGATTTAGGCTATCACTGTTCTCTACCTACACATTTTAATGCCTACCTACACATTTTAATGCCACATTTTGATCGAGTGATTTAAGCAGTTTAGAACCGTAAGTTCTATGCTAAACCATTTCATGCTTGAATGGTTCTTTGCACACTCAATAAAGGTAGTAATCTGTCACTGGGGCAGACCCCTCTTGTCACTGGGGTGGTACCCTTAAGGTTACATCTCAGTACCTGAAGTCAGGGAACATAATTGTACTATACATACATACATCATCTAAACCGCTTATCCTTCTGGGTCGCGGTTAATTGTACCATAATCCATTGAAATGATATTTTCTAAGTTGTACTGACTCCACACACCGTCTTGTCTCAAGGCTTTTTATTTTATCGTTCTGTTTTAAAACTTCAGGTTTTCAAATATGTACTTTTCACCTGGAAAAAACTTATTTAAGGTTCACAGTTGGACCTTAAAACCACTGCTGTACCTTTGAGGGCACATTTACACTGTTTGTACCTTCATGCACGAAAAATGTACCTGCACAGCACCTTTATTTCTAACAGTGCATGGTGAAATGGTTTTTCAGATTTATGGTAAATGTGTTTGGTTCTATATAGAACCTTTTTGAAAACGGTTCTTCTGTTGTTCTAAATAGACTGATTGCCTTCACTTGCCTTTGCTGTGCTGGCCTGCTTTGTCAGACACACCTGTTGACATCTATCTCTGCTCACTAAGCTGTCATTCAGCCACTGTTATCCACCAAAAAGACACATTAAGTTCTTGTGAAACGTTTCTTACAGTTGTCGGGCGAGTTTAAGATGGAAATAAACATGTTTAAGAAACAGAAACTGAGATTTCGGACCGACGGCTGGTTGCTACCGATGGTTGCTATGGCAACCAGGACGTTCGGGCTCAAGCGTCTCTGTTCTCCGAAAATAAACGCAGTTAAGCGATGAAAGAGTTTAAAACGTTTAGGCAGCAAACTAACCATTAAGGTCGAGCCTCTTCAGCGCCACCCAGACCGCCGCGTGTTTGTTTTCCACTTTAGCCATTAAGAAGTTTAGCTGGGGCTCTCCGGAGGTTTATATTCTCAACTGCAGCTCGAGAGAAACAGCAGAGTGAATTCAGCAACTATAAGAAGACTTCAGAGACAGACGCTCCGTGTGGTCAGTTAATTCCAAAATAAAAGCCAGTGTCGAGGACAACAAAGCAAACTAAAAGTTCAGAAAAACTAGATGTGTGTAAAAGTATCGGTACTGTATTAAAATTTTAGAATGGCAAGACGAAAAGAGAAAAATCTCCCGCCCTTTGAGATTTGTGACAAGTTCATTTGGATGTCTAAACTAAAATTTAAGATGTAAAACTTACATTTTTTGTTCTATTAGACATGTAATTGAGTAAATGTAATGTAAACATTCAGTTTTAATAAGATACCAGTAAAGTACAAATCTACCAAGGCACAACGCTCAAGTATTTTCCTCCCCTGGTCATATGGAGTGGCCGATTTTCTAATTTCTAATTTTCTGGGAACTTAACAAATAACAAAAAAACGATCAATCAGCAGTTATTATGATTATTAAAAACAATAATCATCTCCCTTTTATTTGACACTGTATGTTTTACAACCAAACTGCTGCATTTATGTTTGTGCATGTAAACCGATTTTTTTCTACAGTTAATATTCAATAATGATGTATTGCCTAAAAGTAAAATGGAACAAAAGATCAGAAAATGAAACGGGAAGAAAAGGTGGAAATTAAACTTCAACATATATTTTGGTTGGATGGTAGAAATAAAGTAGAAAAACAGCATAAAGTGCGTAAACATGCTTCAATATGGTGAAAAGCTTAATCATTAATAAAGAAATAAAAAGTAAAGTAAAATATAAATTTAAAAAGAGCTAAATACACACAAGGAAAGATGACAGACAGACAGAGAGACAGAGATATCGAGTTTGAGCTGAACAAAGCGGTTAGACAAATCATATGTAAATCAGCTTCCTGTTTCTGATTCACTGTTACAGAGTAAGTTAGAAACAGTAACTAGGACTCTCGTTAAGCACAGTGTCAGTGTTTTACATTAATCAACAAACATGAAGTCCATCTGGGTCCCTCATTCCAGTGATGCTTCCAACAGTTATTCTCAGTCTGGTTCAAGGACTCAAATAGTTTCAACTCAAAATGTTCGAGATTGTCTCTAATGGCTTCTCAAGAGGGTCATGAGACAGATAAGTCAGCTGAAACCAGTTCTTATCATCATATGATCATGACAGGCTTCTAGCAGTAGTCACAGTGGTCTTCATGGATCTACTCTGATAGACCTCTAACAGTAGTCATCATTGTATATTCCTCTTTTGAGACTTGTTTCTTCTCTAGGTTTCTTCCTCTTGCTCTTCAGAACTTTTTCTTACCACTGTCTTCCTTGAAGATACTTACTTGGGGCTTAGACTCGGATGTTCTGTAAATCTGCTTTGTGACAATACCTACTGTAAAAAGTACTATATAAAAAAATCTTTACTTGACTTGACCTTACAGAGACACAAAATTATATTTTGAACTAAGAGCCAGGGTAGTGTGTTTCAACTATCAGGGTTAGTATAATGACAGTTTACATTTTTATGGATTATAGAATATAGTAAATAACATAATAACCATGAATGATCATTAAAGGATTATCTTACTTCACTACAAGTACAGTCGTATGCAAAAGTTGAAACACTCCCAGTAAAATTATATATTTTATTGATAATAATAGTAAGTTATCACATTATAATAATGATTTTTTAACATATCCCACATCCTCTAAAGGGAAAAAAAACATAAACATGGCATTTTCCTGCAGTTTTTACTGCACAGTTTCTATTTATTTATTAGAAAGAAATAATACATATGTTATCTTATTTTCACTTAGAAAATTAACAAAACATGTCATTTGACCAGAGCACCCTAACTTTCGCATATGACTGTAAATTGTATTTGCTCTTCCTTCATGTATTGCGCACATTACATCAAGATGAAGGTTGTGGTTAAAGCATTTTTAGCAGCAATATAAACTGTCTGTCCCAAAGTTCAAAGTGCAGGTTTTTGTATTGGTGTGCATGTTTATGTGCTTTAGGGTATGAAAACACAGTCACTGCGAACACAATATAATAGCAGAATCTTTTTCTTGAATTACAAAACTCGTGACATGGTGCCAGCGCCACTTTGTGGGATGTGTGATAGTGATGTCATCCGTACAACTGCCTTTGTAGTCTGTTACAGAACAACAGTGGTAAAAACTGTTGTTACTGTCAATTAATCATTTTGATTATTGATATAGGCTGTGATAGAAATGGATCCTTCCTCCCTCATTACTATTGCACTAGTTTACTAAATTGCAGTAAAACTGCATGAATCAGTCAATGAATTTGGACACTTATTGATCATCAACCTGTATCAACTTGAGCAAGGCTGAATTTGGCTTCTTATTCAAAGCCTTCAACATGAACACAACATTTTGAAAAGTGCAGGGGACAAAGAAACCATAAACACACTTAATTCTAGGTCCATGACTGCAGTAACCTGCAGTTACCAGTCAGTGTTTTTGCCATATGATGAGGGCATCAGGGTCTTTGTTTTTAACTGTACACAGTGGCCGTTTTTCTGTAGTGTTTCTCCAGAAAGTAAAGAGAGTCTGAAATGTTTGTTTTCAGTGACTCAGTGGCCACTTTTAACGTAACATTCATCTTAACAAGAGTTTCACAAAACATGTTGGTATCAGCTCATGTAGGGATGTACAGTCTTCACTAGAAATTACAAGTGCACTGTGGGAGATTGCCCTGCTAGAAAAAACAGCATAGACCAGCATTTCTGGTTCCCAGCAAAAACAGCATATTTCATGTTTTGGATGCAACAGCATCAGACCAGCACTAGACCAGCATAAACCAGCTTAGACCAGCACAGAACTAATGCTGGTCTGTTTTTTATTTCAGCAGCGTACAGTGATCTCAAAATCACTCATTCTATAATCATTCTATTTTATGATTCAGGTGCTGAGCAAAAAATGGTCAAGGTAGCCAATAAGGTCCCTAAAATACAAAAAAAAATGGTTTGGTGTGAAATGCTCCATTCTTGAGTCAGAACTGTTCACAGTAGTGGTGATAGGAACCAGATGCCTCTAAAAGCACCTGCACAGAAAGTTTTTACAAATAGTTACGTATATGCTCCCTGATGTCTGAGACATTGTTTACAGTAGTTTTCACATAAGCTTTTAGCCTAAAATGCATTTTTTCAATTCATTTTTTACTATTATTTCATTAGCAGTTTTGTAGTGTGTTTGACAAATGTTCCTGACATGTTAGTTTAGGTTATTAGTTCAGCAATCAGCATTTTTTCATGCGTTATTCTGATAGGGACTTTTATTATGAAGGCGGGGCTAGTTTTCCCCAGGGAGATATCAAAGGGGATATGTGTCAGAGATGAAATGAGTCAGTGAACAGCTGAAGAGCTTTAGTCAGACGTGAGCTGAGGCTTAGAGTGAACTGTAAGAGAAAAGCTTACTTATGTACAGCAAAGGTGTGGCCAAGAACGGCTGGATAATAAAGCACCATGACTTATGCAAAAGCAGTTCTCTTTTAATAGCAGTAACTGCTACAATATTACATCTAAAAACTCTTAAGACATGTAGGTTCATTGTCATTTTGGATAGTAAATAAAATGGCTGTATTTGTGTTGTAGACATCGCAACCCCTGGTCCCTGTTACCATTGTAAGTCGGTAGGTTTCTCTACAATTAATTATTTCACATCAAACCACTCTGGATGATCTCAACTAGTGAATTATTTAGAAAGTTTAAAAAATTGGTGGAATTCCCCTTTAGGCAAAAGCCCATATCGCGAATGCGGGCTGTGGAACAGGTCAAAGGAAACGTGACCAGAGAACTTGTAGAGAGGAGAATTACCACTCTGTTTCTAAAACGCTAGAGGGCGCTCCTGAGCGGTCCAAAATTAATGGGTTAAGACGGAGCATTTGAGCACAATCATGGTTTATATATGCTTAAATATTTTTAATATAAAAGACTATAAAATTCATTTCCTGAACACAGAACAGCATAAAACATTTTAACACCGCTGTTATATTTTTAAGAGCTTTTAACCTCGAGTTATGGGAGTTTAAAAAGGCGCCTCATGTATGTTAATGACGTGGGAGCATGAACAGCCAATGAGCTGCTCCGCTTGCCAACCAATCAGCACTCAGTAGCAGTAATGCTAGCATCCTGATACCCAAAACCCTTCTACAGAAAAAAAGGAAACACACAGGTATGTTTTTTTTTTTTTTGCTTTTTTTTTTTTTTTTTTAGAGAAATACATCTTTCTACTTTTCAAAATTAAAGGAAAGTTCTGGGCGAGTGATTAGAAATTATTTTAGCTTTTCGTTTTTTAGCCGTTTAGCTCCATTCACCCCCATTCATTGAGGACTCGCTCGCGGGCGCCCTCTGGCGTTCTACAGTCATGTTTTTGATAAAACGAGGGAAATAGGAAGAGGCCAGGCTCCGGTGTGTGGGGGGTGGTGGGGCATAAACCGGCTCTGACGCGACCACCCAATTGGGACTTTTCTTTTGAAAGTGGGTTTCCGTTTAACGGTTCTTCCTGCTGCCTTCAGTATCTCAACCCTCTTAGTGTCCGCAAGGCTGCGGCGCTGAGCACAGATACACAGCGTTAGTGTGTTTATCCGCTCTGTAATGTAGAACAACCTGCCTACTGACACGGCATTCAGAGTGAACATACGAGCAGTGACCATCAGCAGACCAGCCTGATTTATTTCAGTATGAATGAGCCAGAAGGGCTGCGATTCCGGAGGCTAAACAGACCTCAGATAATAACAGACGAGACCCATGAACCCCAATACAAAGGCACGAGGTAAGCAGCGAAACAGCTGTTATATATATATATAAAACTTACATACATGAAAGTCTTAATTGCCTTAATATTAAGTGACAACGCACAGTGTGACTGAGGCAGACTGGGGCTGAATTTTAACGCTAGCCTATTTACCTCGGTATCCAGCTGCATAACAGCTGTGTAATAATGATCTGTGGGAATGTAGCCGTACATATTCAGTGATGGTTCCCTCAAATTAAACATGTGAACCACTTTCTGCGCTTTCAGCACGTACAGTGGAAAGGTGTTCAGAGTTACTTTGCTCGCACTGGGTGGATTCCTGCTGTTCCCGCTGCTGGTAGTCGTTTTTCTTCTGGAGTCCCCGATTCAGCCGGAGGCGTTCAGGTAAACGCTTGAGAAGAGGTGAAACACTTTAAGGGGAATTCCACCAATTTTTCAAAATTTCTCAGTAAAGCAGTGCTTGAGGTGTAAACAGAGTCTTTCAGAGTGGTTTGACATGAACTGGTTCATTGTAGTGAAACTTGCAGACTCTGCTTTCTTTACAGTGGTGGTGATAGGAACCAGGGGTTATGTCTACAAGACAAATATAGCCGTTTTATGTACTATCCAAAACCACCAGTGATCCTATACGTGCCTTCTGGGTTTTGATATGTAATGTTGATGATGGTATGATAGTAGTAAATATGAAAAAAATACGTTTTCTTTGGGGACTATTTTGCCTTACAGTGCTCCTCTTTGTCATAAATGGATTAAAGTAAATGGATTAAACTACATTTTAAGCCAAAACTTCATCATAAGACAGTGTGTGAGACATCAGGCAGCGCATTCATAACCATTTCATGTAATAACTTTGCAGTGAGGGAGCTCTCAGAGGTATTAAACTCTTCAGACATCTGGTTCCTATCACCACCACTGTGAACAATTCTGACTTGGCGAAGTTTCTCTAGTATTTCACACCAGACTACTCTGAATCTCATCTCAGCTGTTTATTCAGGTAGAATTTTGGAAAAATCAGTGGAGTTCCCCTTTAAAGGAACTAAGCTGCTGATTTTCATGCTCCAGTACGTACGAGCAATGCGCTATTCATAGAAGGCGTACATAAAGAGCCATAAGGTGAACATAAAAAGGCTTGACCGCATGCAGGTTCTGCTGACCTGATTTATTCTGCAGCAGAGAGTAGCCTAACCACACTAAAGTAAAAGCGGTGCTACCTCTTTGAAATGATGACTCAAACAGAAATAAAAGTAGCTGCCAAAGGCCTCGAGTTAGTTTAGTTTAATGACCAATTTCCAACCTCTCTTTATCCCTTAGAATTAAACAGGCTGTTTTAGTTTATCACAATATTAACCAATCAATAAATTGCCCTCCCCTAGTCTGAATCTCGGCTTCTCATTTTAAGAGGCAGTGTTAGTTGCCTAACGGCTTCAGTACAGCACTGGCATGTCATAGACCTTGTTTCAAAATGTCAAATGGTGCACTTTCACAATGCTTCCTGTGTTTGATTACCCATCACTGTCAGTTTCCAGATTTTCAAAAGGCTACCAGACAGGAACATTCCTGCTAGATGATGAATTTAAGGCTGTTGTAATGTTTGTGAGGTACACATTCTGCCTATATATCTGCAATTAATATAGAAAAACAGTTTATTTATTCCTTTCCCTGATGCCAGAAGGAACAGCTGCATTAACTACCTCATGTGGTGAGTTCTGACCCCCTCGTTTTTTGGGTCAAGCCTTGCGCCACTGCTGAATATTTAAGTACCCTTGGCGCTAAAGGCTTGCAGAACCAATCTGCAGTGATTCCTCATTTAGATTCATCTCTCAATTCTGTGTCAATGCTTAATGATTGGTCTTGCTGCTGCTGTTGAGCAGTGCAGCCTGTCTCCTCCAATTTTTCTAGCCTAAATCCAGCCTGCACTGGGATTAGATGCCCCTAAGAACCCAAGACTTAATTAATGTTATTTTCCCCCCCATCTCCCTTTTATGTCCTTTTCTTTTATGTCTTTTTAATCCTGCTCGTACCCCGCTAGCCTCAACGAGCCGCCCTTCATGACTGGCTGCTTTGAACCCAACCTAAAGCTGAGACAGGCGGAGAGACTGTTTCGAGGATCAGCTCGTTGGGCCTGAATCCATTGCCAATATTGGAGGTCAGTACATGCTTCCAGTGTCCTCTTACCCAGAGAGTTTCACTCTGCTGTTGTGCAAGGAGTGGCTAGAGTGGGAATAGCCAAGTAGGTGAAAGGTTATTTGGCAATGCTGTCTCTTTGGTTAAACTGTACTGTCTGTTCTTTTGTGTTTAAAACAAACTTGTCTGTTTTGTTGTTGTGTAAATAATATTGCATGTGAAAATATACCTTTTATTATTATGTAGTGGTAATTATTAGTGCCACAACGTTTTAAAAATAACACCTAAAAAGCTGTTCTTGTTTCCTGCAGATGTTCTATACACCGGTACTGCGGATGGAAAGATAGTGAAAATTGATGGAAGGAAAACGAGTGTTTTGGCAACTCTTGGCAAGCCACCATGTGGTAATCAGACTTTAAAGGAACATATTTAACCGGTTCCTCACTGGCTGTGTGATGCAACGTTTCACCTGAGTCTTTCTCAGTAGAGCTGTCATTGTTAATGAACATCCGTGTAATGGCTCAGTGCTGAGAAATGACTCTTCATTGTCAGTCATACAGTGCTCAGAAGTAGTCCTGGGACACCTCTGCCATCATTGGTTTTGTAGAATTATTTAATTTGTTAGTGTATGTTATAAATTGTGGTTTACCATATTCAAAAGTACATCATTCCAACCATATTATAACTTATCGATCAATACTTTGGGTCCAAGTAGGCAAAAGCAAACTAGAAAAGTTTCATCTAATCTCCTATTTTACTTAAAAATAATGGACACTAATCCAAATACACGTACACATCATGTTCAAACCAGAGATCTCCAACACCACTCCTGGAATTCACGTCTCGAAATTTCATTAACAATCTGAAATATACTGCTTTAGAAAACTTGAATATTGAGATGAACAAATCTGTGAAAAATACTAAATACTAACATATGTAAAGGAAAGAGACACTAATGTTTGTCCCACTAATGTTTCACTTCTTTTACTTGCCTTTCTTAAGTTTTCCGTTAATTACTGATAATTTTGAGTTTCGCTTAGTAAACCTGGTTGTGATTGCTGGTTGTTAAAACTTTTCTGATGGGTACAAATAAATAAATGATAACTTCAGCTTGAAACATACTAAATAAACAGTACATACGTTGTATACAGTGTCCCAAAACTACCTTTGAGCACTGTAATTATGATTTCTCAATCAACACACCCTCAAAAATGAATCACTTAGTCATCGAGTGAGCAGGCCTGCACTGACTAGCATGAAGGTGTTTGTCTTTCTCATATCCTCACATGCATTGTTAGTCTGTGAGCAGTGCATGTGCTCCTCCAGTTCCTCCATGTCTGTGGTGTTTCACAATGCTGATGTGCTGGCAACCTGAGAGAGTCAGAGCTGTTGTAAAATATGCAGAGGATTTTGATGACTGTGCCATAAAAAACTGCAGAAACCCCCACTGCAGGCACATGCATAGCATTTTTCCAAAGGACAGTGTGAAGGACAGATCCAGCACTAGACGTACCCTGGTCGAATACCTGTGCTCATTTCCCTTTGCATATTGGCACCCATTAAAGTAGTCAGGGTTCTCTAGGAGGAGATGGCGGTGAGAACATTTCTCACACAACGCTAGTGTAGCAACAAACTCTGATGATTGTGTTTGACTACTCAGCACTGTTTCTAGCTCCTCTCATACATCCTGTTTAGGTACGCTTGGTACCCATCAGGAAGAGCCATCAGATTCAGCATGGGTACTCAGGTATGACGTGGGTCACTAGGCTGTGGAAATAACAACAAAATATGTGATTACAGATTTGTAACCATACCGTTCTTTGCCCTGTTGTCCTGTGGAAAAGCTCTAGAAGACGTGGGTTCTCTAGTTGGTGGATCTGTTCTTTGCAGCCTGCACTGTAAGCATCATATAAATAAAACCGTTTTTGTCCTCTGCTGTAAAGGGTCTCGCGAGCAGGAGCATGTTTGTGGACGGCCTCTTGGAATCAGAGTGGGTCCCAATGGCACCTTGTTTGTAGCCGACGCCTACTTGGGGCTGTTTGAGGTGAATCCTGTCACAGGTTGGAAATATTTCTTTTTCTCTTCCTTGCTTGCTTTCTCTCTCTCTCTCTCTCTCTGTCTCTCTGTCTCCCTCTCTCTTTTGCTTTATTGCTGTCTGTCTGGCTTTCTCTTACTTTCTTTCTTTCTTTCTTTCTGTCTCTCTCACTTTGTCTTTTTCCTTCGTTCTTTTTTCATTATTTCTTTATTTTGCGTTTTCTTTCTCAGTTTTGGCTGTTTCTGGCTGTCATTTTTCTTCTTTCTTTCTTCTCAATTTCTTTCTGTCCATTTCTTTCTTTCTTTCTTTCTTTTTTTCTCTCTCAGTTTCTTTATTTCCTTATTTGTTTTTCTCCTTCTTCCTTTATCACTTTCTTTCATTTCTTCCTTCTCTTCTTTCTCTTTCCATCTATATTTCTCTCTTTCTGTCTGTTTTTCTTTGTCCATCTGTTTCTTTCTTTCTTTCTTTCTTCCTTCTGTCTGTCTGTCTGTCTGTCTTTCTCACTTTGTCTTTCTCACTGTGTTACTATCTTTCTCTTTTTTTTTCTCTCTTTCTTTCTTTCAAATTGCCCCAGTGTGGTAATGATGAGGTGCATGTAGTAAATGGGTTATTCCTCTCTATGTCTCCTTCTTTTTGGCGTTCAGGTGAGTCAACCCTTCTGGTCAGCACTCGGAAGATGGTCGGGGGTCGGCGTTTATCCTTCGTCAACGACCTGGATGTGACTCAGGATGGGAAGAAGGTGTACTTCACTGACTCTAGCAGCAGGTGGCAGCGTAGAGACTACCTGAGCCTCATCATGGAGGCTACAGCAGATGGACGGTAAATTGGGCTTAAAAAATACCTCACTGCACACAGTGCTTGATCTTGCTCACAGTCTGTTTATGGCCGTGCTATAATTGCCGTTTCCAGCGTTGATATAATGAGAAATAGAGATTTTGTTTCAGTTCCACTGATTCATGCAGTTAGTATCTTTTTTTAATGAGGCAGTTTTGGCAGTTTGACTATGGCTGTATTTACTGAATTGGTATTTTAGGGTTCTGGAGTATGACACGGAGACCAAAGAGGTTACTGTTATGATGGAGAACTTGCGCTTCCCTAATGGAATCCAGTTGTTTCCTGATGAAGAGTCTGTTCTTGTTGCTGAAACAACAATGGCAAGAATAAGAAGGTAAAGAGTCCCTTTTACTTTGTTAGTTGACAGTTGATCAAATTTTCTTTTGCAGTTTTGTCTTTTCCGGGAGTTTAACGCTGGACTTTTTAAGGGCCAAAATGATTTTATCCTTGTTTTTCATGCTGTGCTTTGAAACATGACCTTGACTTTGATGAAGGACACTTTTCACATTCATATTAGGGATGATTGATTTAATCATTTTCATTGAGAAGTTCAAGAGAATGCAATTTCCAAATTGAAAGAGCTGCAATTTTAATTATATTGTACATTATTCAACATTGCCTGGGAAATTTAACCTAATTATTTACAGTTTGTGCGGTCCTGTACGCTACATTCATTTTTCAAGCCTCAAGCTCAAAAAAAAAAAAACGTGGTGGTCTTCTTGGAAGACCTGGAGCTTAGGTTTATAGAAGATAATCACATTTAAATTGTAATTGCAATTTTAGTGAGAAAAATAATTAGATATTTTTTTCCCAAATCGTTCTGCCCTAATTCTTACCAAATTCAGTCAGCACATTAAATATGATTTGCATTCCCTCTTCCTTTTTCAGCACTTGCATGCTAAACACAGACTCCTATTTCAGATGTTCTCTAATCAGCCTGGGGTCGTTTCATTGTCACAGTTAAAATTCTTCCGTCAGCCTTCCTGCTCTATTATTTCTCATGAGCAAGTTCTATATGTAAATGCACTCCTCCCCCTCTCTCTGCTGTCATACTTCTCACGTCTGCTGGAGGCAGTGCGAGTTCCCCCCAAGCCTCACCTGGATAAATGATGCAAGCTTGCTGTTGCCTAGGTAACCGGATCCTTCACTAAGCTTCCAGTGTTGAGAGCAGAATGGCGTGTTCGCTCTTATAGTGAAGCGAGTGTGGGCACAGCGAGGGGGAGAGTACGTAGGAAATGCTTTCATGTAGCCTCTTTGCCTACTGAAGAGGCTAGTGTTACACTTGTCACATGAGGAACTGGACAGATTAACTTGAAAGAACATCTGTTTCCATTAGGAGTGAAAGAGAATAGAAAAGAGGATCTGTGGATTGGCTTAAAAGAGCACCTTACCAAAAATTATTTCCATCCATATTTGTTGAAAAGGTACAGAAAAATTTTAAACAGTGTATTGAAATTTAAAACTGTATCAATAATAAGCCCCTCTGTCTCTTCTGAGTAATTTGGGTGGGAAGGGGTGGGGCTTGTGTTATGCACACATCCACACTTAAATGACTGAACTTTTTATAAATCAGTTATAAATTCTAAGGGATATGATTTGGGGTGATAATTTGTTAGACGGGTGTTGTGGCAGACATTGAAAAAGTTTTGTTTGAGAATATTTCTTTATTTGAGTCAAACCAATATGTATAGTATAGAATTAAAGCCCTGTAGAGTCTACATGCAGTATATCACTTAACGAATTGAATCTTGAGAATCAGAATTGAAAACTGCCCTGCACCTGAAAATATGTGAATTGTTGCATTCCTAATACGCATGAAAGTATGCTGTGAGCATGGTGCAAACATGAACATATTTACAATAATGGTGTGTTTACATGTTGCTGTTAAAAAAAAAAAAAAACTTTCCATGCCTCAAAGCGGTACACAACCAACAGCGGCATGTGCCCATAAAAATGTTGCCATCATGTCAGCATTACTGGTGAAAATAGAGGATTAACAAAGGTAGAGTTTTAGCAGTGTTTATATATAAAGCTACGCTATGTAAGATTTGGGGATTTGGAGACCTCTCTGGTGAAAATTTGTAACTGCACACCATGTGCGGAAGAACATTTTGTAATTTTGCTTTGGACCCCCCCATCACCGAACACATGACTGGTGATTGCGAGCACATTAAAAGAATATTCAAAGAGAACTAAGTCAAAACTTGGTGTTGTACCTTTCAAGGATGTAAGTGAGTTATCTGCTATTGATTGACTTCCTACTGCCAACATGTAATTCAACATAACCTGTGAACACAAGCCACATATTCAGACACTCCCTATTTTTGTTGCATTGAAAAATTTATTCTAATGAGACACCACAGTATCGTATCTAATCAAATTCTCAGTTTTGTGTATCGCTACACCTGCATGCTGGAAAACACTGAGATCCTTGACACTTTGAACTCTCCACAGGGTTCACGTGGCCGGACTCAATAAAGGAGGCATGGATACTTTCATAGACAATCTCCCTGGTTTTCCAGACAACATCCGACGCAGCTCCTCAGGGGGTTACTGGGTGGTCATGTCAGCCGTGCGGCCTAATCCCGGTTTCTCCATGCTCGATTTCCTGTCCCAAAGGCCTTGGATTAAGAAGCTCCTATTTAAGGTATGTGCTGTATAGTGAGGGGTAAACATACCACCAGGGGTGGCTGATATGACATAAAACAATAATGATATATCATTATCATGATAAATTATGGCACAGTGTGGATGATATAAAAGTGAATTTCGGTATGCCACCACCCTATCATGTGGATTTGACCGTATCATGGATACTGTGATAAGATTAAGCGCGGCAAACCACCAACAGTCTTGCCCTACTCACAAAATTAAACGAGCAATTTTTCACAAGTCTTTTACAGTTACAGAAGCACTGCTGCTGTGCTGCTTGCAGGGTGCTCATGTGGTAATCAGGGTAGCACACTATGTTCCACTTTTTCAGCCATGGCATGTAATTGTTACTCTGCTATAGTTTCCTTTTTTCACTCTTATGTCATGCTCTCTTGGGCAACACAAATATAACATTAACTGTTGAATGAGACAAGGAAGGATGTATGAGCTCATAAAACCCATCCAAAATCAGCACTACTGTTCTGCATTGTTACAGTTTATGAATCTCTATAAAAACATCAAGATGCACATCATGTGTCACGAAAATGTGTTCAAGTGTTGTGATATATTTTTTTCCATACTGCCCACTCTTACATACTAGATCAAGTCCTTTTCAGCACTTTTGTTCTGGCGTATAATATGATGTTATTCACAGCCCACTTGTACAGGGTGTTCTAGCTTTATATATATGGTGTAGGAGTAAATATGTCCGAGTGGGTGATATGACAATATGATTTGTTCTCACAGCTCATTACTTCACAAAATAAGCAGTAATTATGCAGTAGAAAATAATAATATAAAGAAAAATAAATAAATAATAGCGATTAGCAACAGCATTAATGAAAATAATAATAAAAACATTGTTATTGAACTGAAATGTCTTTTCTTATTCCTTTAGAATATTCAAAAATGTCTGATAGCCATCGCGCACACACACGTTTGTGTGTGCATGTGTGTATATATAGATATAGATATAGATAGATATAGATAAATACACACACCGATCAGGCATAACATTATGACCACCTCCTTGTTTCTATGCTCGTCCATTTTATCAGCTCCACTTACTATATAGGTGCACTTTGTAGTTCTACAGTTACAGACTGTAGTCCATCTGTTTCTCTGTGTACTTTGTTAGCCCCCTTTTACCCTGTTCTTCAGTGGTCAGGACCCCCATGGACCACCACCATGTCAGTGTTACTGCAGTGCTGAGAATGATCCACCACCCCAAATAGTACCTGCTCTGTGAGGGTCCATGGGGGTCCTGACCACTGAAGAACAGGGTAAAAGGGGGCTAACAAAGTATGCAGAGAAACAGATGGACTACAGTCTGTAACTGTAGAACTACAAAGTGCACCTATATAGTAAGTGGAGCTGATAAAATGGACGAGCATAGAAACAAGGAGGTGGTCATAATGTTATGCCTGATCGGTGTGTGTGTGTGTGTATGTATATATATATATATATATATATATATATATAATGGACTAATGGAAGTTAATGGAACAATATTTTTCAAAGTAATTTTGGTCCATTTCTGTTGGTCCATTTATCATGAACTCTTACACAATATTAAGGCTAACTGGAGTTTTCAAACTATGCAAATTATGTGATTCTTTATAGCAATGGGCATCTCTAACAGCTGTATTGGGCAGCAGGATACTAGACGTTTTGCCTTACTCATTTTGGGCGTGTACTTGTGCTTTCAGCTCTTCAGCCAGGACATGATGATGAAGTTTGTGCCTCGCTACAGTCTGGTGGTGGAACTACAGGACGGAGGAACGTGTGTGCGGAGCTTCCACGATCCCCATGGCATGGTGGCCGCCCATATTAGCGAGGCCCACGAGCACAATGGCCATCTCTACCTGGGCTCCTTCCGTTCACCCTACCTGTGTAAGCTGGACCTCAGCAAAGTGTAAAACAGCCCTCCTGCTCGGCGGAATAAGGGGCCACTGAGGCATTTCTTGGGGCTGCTTTTCCTTTGTCATTTCACGCCTCCTCCAGAAAAGAAGCAATTAACACTTCTGGCACATTAACTGGAGCCACAGCGACCGATCCCATATCTTCCCATCCAACAACCCCAAATCCCTCAGACACACTGACAGATATGATACTGTTACTGTGTAATTTTTTTGGCTCTTACATATGCTTGAACTTTGATTCTCCTCTGCCATGTGGGTGTGACTTCACATTTAATTGTCCCTTTTTACATCTTGTGGTGTGTCATCAGCACATCTGAAGAATATGCTAGGTTGCTTTATTTAAGAGTTGCCATTTCTATTTTAGTTTTCCTCCCTGTGAGAGAAAGTGCACATGGAGCACATCCTCATTTGTTTTATTTGCACTGAAGAACTGTCATCTAGCCCTTAAAATAGAGCTGCTATTTTCCTTCTACAAACTGTGACAGAAATATCAAAGCAGGTGATGACTTGTGAAGTTTGTGACTTCTAGTTGCAGTGCCAAAATGTTGCTTGGGACACAAACACTTTTACAGATTTACCTCTCCCAGTACTATCCCCCAGCCTGGTCTAATACATTTCAAATTAGTTTTTTATAATTACATTTGCAATGTTTTTTTTTTTTTTCTTTGATAATTTGTGTCATATTTTGTGTGTTGCACAGTTTGTTAATTAGCTGATCTTCTTTAGACCTTGCATTAACCCGGTGTTTCAAGTGTGGTGATACTTTAGCTGGATTCCATTTATACCTTTCACTAAAATGCATCCCCAGTCTGACCAGAGGAGATCCAATTTCACCTTCCTGACTAAAAAGCACATATGTTATTTACAGTAACTTTCTGTAAACATTTGGTCATTTGTTGGATGCCTTCATCAGCCCAGAGTGCAAGACGACACTTGGTTACAAGATGACTCCAGCTTTGTGTATCCTCCATTTTGCTTTTCCTTGTTTAGCCTCTCACCTGGTGGTCAAGATACCTCTTAAGATGCATCTCTGACCACATCAGAATGTGGTACAAGTGATCCACTCGTAATCTGATCACAATGTGTCCTGGTTTCCGTAACATCTAGCTTTTTATGCAGTCAAGTGAAAACCGAACATGATCTGATCACCGGAAATTCATGTTGATGCAAGGTGTAAACAGCCTCCCTGAGCTTCCGTTAGCCACGACAGTTTTCCTCTGGAAAGGGTATTAATAAGTAGCAATAATCTCCTGGCTGCTTACGCCAGTTAGTGAATCTGTGGCACATCTGTCATGCACATTTCAAGGCAGAGACGGTGTAGTTTGATCAAGGAAAAAAAATTAAATTAACAAATTTGTTCATATGAACAAATACAAACTCTCACTAGTACAGATGGGTATTTCTAGATACATCAGAATTGGAATATTAAAAAATTCTTAATACATCATGATTTTTGTCCATCTTCACAAGTAGTGTTAGTTTAATTTGAACATAGCCTTGCTAAGTCTACTGCTAAGTCTGCTGCCCCACGTCCTTACATTTCACTATCAAATGGGTTTAAACTAAAAGAAAAAAACATAAAATATGTTTCTTTTTGTTCTTTATGTCACACTGCACACAATATAACCAACAGCGTTTATTTTTCATCAGAAAAGTTTGGATCCGTTGACATTTTTCAATAAAAAAAAGCATTTTTTTGTATACAGGTGTATGCATACATTTGAATACACCTGCCCAAATGACATCTTTTGTTGATGTTCTAAGTGTAGAAAAAATCTTTTACAGGATACAAATTAAAATTTTCTGCTAATTTTAGTGAACAATTTCTATTTATTTGCTGGATATACACTGTAGAAAATGTTTTTTTTTGGTTCAGACTAAGATAATGACTTCTTGTGGTAACAAGTAAATTAGTTTTATTCAGCCTAAATAAATATTCTGGATGAACCATTGTTTTGATTTAAGTATTTAATTAAGTTAGTTCTTTATTTAAAGTTTGGAACATATTTTACTATACTGGAAAAAAAATAAAACAACTTAAATTAAATGTGCCTTTAGTACAGTCCACATTCTTTTCCCCAATATGTTAAACAGTAATTGTGCTTTAAAACATGCAGAAGTGTGTTCTCTGTAGAGGATGTAAACTTATTTTCACTTTAAAAAAAAAATCAACAAAACAATGTCTTTTGACTTAGAGGTGCCCAAACCTTTGCATACGTCCACACAAGTCTAGTAAAAAGTAAAAAGTGTGATTATGATATTTTGTGTATCGATGCAGAATCTTTTATAGGAGAATCATGATGCATCAGTTGTTTGCCCACCCCTAGTCACCAATCCTGTGGTGCTGGATCCAGGGATTATATGAGATCAGGCTGTATGCAGCTTCTAAAAGAGCTTCCAGTGCTCTGAGATTAAGGAAGAGTAAGAGGTCTAATAAAAAGTAACTTCTCTGAACAGCTACTGGACCTGAAAGAGACCCTCTCCCCGATCTAGCGTAGCGTTACAAATCTGCCTCAGCACATCACAAGGCAGAAGCTTGTGAATAATTTACACCACACGATTACATGCAAGCTAGATATTCTGAATTTACGGTCAGTCGGATCCCGAGGAGAAACGATAACTAGTCACTGAACATGATCAAAAGTTTACATCCACATCTCGTTTAAATTCCAGTTGCATATTTTATTCTGTGCCAGCTCACGGTTAAATTAGCATACCGTGCCATTTCGCATTTACAGTTGTCTTTGAAAATGGCATATTAGGACTTGTTTGAAGGAAGGCAGAGGCAAAATGTGGTCTTCATTATCTTCAGCCATGGTACGGCCCACACTTCAAAGTTACAGAGGAACGTCTGAAAGATAAACAGGAATCCTGCTAGTTCATGTTTTTGCTAAAGGAATCTCTGTAGAACAGCAGATATTCGATCAAGATTGTTTCGTACAAAGAAATGCACTACTGAATAAAAATCAGTGAAATGAACTGCAGTGCACTTCCTTTTCTCAAGGGCAGCCAGTTCTGTCTGCACACGGCTTTAACGTCAAATCTTCACCTTCCTCTTCAATTTCACACTTTTTTTTTAAAAAAGACAGAAAAGCCAGCATGTACTATACCTGCTGCAACAAACCATGTGGCTGAAAGTCACAGTTAGCAAGGTCAACATCACCCTCTCTCTTCCTGCACACAGTCCGCGATATCTCGACCTTCAGCAGGTACTTGATACCTTTAACAATCTGCAACAGAATAGTGGTGGCGTGCTGTTAATTGCATGGTACGTTGGGTGTTGCCAATATAGTTGGGATTTTTTCTGGATCATTCTAGATGTTTATCCTCTGTCCCGGAAAAAGGAGCTCTATCACTGAACACAATGACCTGGAATCTGGGCATTTTCATATGTCAGCATTTCCCTCTCTTTTTTATCAACTTTTATTGCTTTTCACAATAAGCAGAAGTGTGTGGTGGGGGTGGGGGGTTGAGGCAGGGTGGTAACAAGCAACTTTCAAGTGACACACAGGCCAAAGGTGTATAAAACAAACAGCATCAAGATAAATATTACAAAATACAGGCAAACTACCCTGGATACAAATTACCATTTGAAAAAATATCTGGGTTTTTAAGCAATTCTTGAATGGAATGATATAAATTATCTACAAACTAAAAAAGATAGTTCTTCAAGGGTTCTTCAGTAAAGAAAATGGTTCTACATAGAACCATGAACACCCAAAGAACCCTTTGCATGATTAAGTTCTTTGCATCAGGGTTCTTCAGATTGATGGAGATTGTTCTACATAGCACCAAAAAATATTCTTCCATTGTTACAAGCTTGACATCATAACAATAGAAGAGCCCTTTTGGTGCTATATAGAACCATTTTCAAAAAGGTTCTACATAGAACCATCTACAACACATTCTCCATCAATCTGAAGAACAATTTTATGATGCAAAGAACTCTTCAAGCATGCAAAGGGTTCTCTGAGTGTCAAGCTTGGCTGTTAGATGTTCCATGCAAACTATATTTTATAAGCCAGGAATCCAAAACTTTGTGGGTGATCTAAAGTTGTAGTACAGTTTTTGTGGTTGTAAAACCTGCCATTAGCATCTTTCGTTAAATTAAAGAAAAATTAGAATCTGAATCGTGGTTCAACAGACTAGATGAGGCAACAATGGAATATTAATAGTAAGTAATCTGGATAGCACATGCCCTTTAAAAATCCACACATGAGCAGAAATGTACTGGGTGCAGTGTAACAAATATTGTAGTTGAAGATGGAAATACGTTTCATTTGGTACCTTCTATAAGGAGCTGCGTATCGCTGTTGTTGGAAGAAAACCTTGTATCTCCAAAATGACAACTTTACAGGAAAAGGAAAAAACCTACTTTACTTTTAATGTAAGTCAATGAAACCAGACTTTTTCCCCCCCAAGTAATTTTGGGTCATTTCTGTTGGTCCGTTTGTCATGAAATTCACACACAATATATATGACCACGGGTACTTTCAAAGTTATGTCAAAACTGAAAAACGTCAAAAACAGAGATACAAGGTTTTCTTCCGACAACAGCGATATGCTCTGTGGATTCTTTTATAGTGGAGAAGCTGATGGGCCAAGTTTTTAGAGGTTTGACAGGTTTAGACCCAATAGTAACCCAATCTAGTAAGGCCAATAGAGGAAAGTTCTCACGCCCATAGCTGTTCAACTGACAACTGCCTAATCACATGGTCTAATAGGATGTTATATATAAGCATTCCCTGCCCTGTGGATTGTCTGAGGGTCTATCTCTGGGTGAGCCATAGGAGCACTGACGACACCCTGTATGCCCAAAGTGAATGTAAGCAAAATATTATCGTCACATACGTCTCCCACTGTGTTGACACCCTGAGAAGACCAAAAAGAATCACTAAATGGTTTTCCCCCAGTCAAAAACTCTGAATTATGCAATAGAGGAGTTTGTATTCAAGCATGGAATGGACCACCCATAAACTTCACTTTACTCCAATTGCCTATGGACACTATACATCCCAATCTTAGGTTACGCATCATCCAACTACATCTAGTAAACAAGTCTTGCAACCTATGAGATTCTGAAACTGCTTCTGGTGTGTAAATGTATCCAATCAAACTATAAATACAAAGGATGGGTTTAAATGACTGTCTATGTGGGAATAATTTTGTCTGAAAGGTGCACTGTTGGTGTCAAATTCAGGCAGCACTGTGGTAAGAAAACTGAGATGAGGTTCTATAGCTAAACTGACTCTGTGTCAGGAGTGTAATTAGGATCTTATGGGCCCCAGCACAAAAATAATGCCACCCCAATACAAAAATGACTTTAAATTAATTTTAAAAAAAACTAAAAAAACAAGGACAATGTATTTTTCTTATGTGCTTGCTTAAGTCAGTGCTCTCCACCACTCCACCCACCAGCATCTCACATTAACCTAAATGTTTTACATTAGGCTACCTGTTTAAGATTTCAGAATTATAAAATATTGAATATGAGGTTGCAGGTTCTAAAGGATCCGTTTGAAAAAGGCTGAGCTGATTATGAATAAGTGTGAGATAAATAGATGCCAGTTGTGTCCATGTTCAGGGAAGCTAACTGGTGAGGTATGTTAAGAAAATGGAGCTCTCTGTGAGTTGTTGGTGTGCAGTTGTGTCAGTATCTACATGAGGGGGCCAATACAGACTTAGTGACCAGGCCTCGCTGTGCCACAGGCCGCAGCATGAGCGCCCCCCCTCCCCAACCCCCACCCAGTAGTTACTCCACTGACCTGTCTACAAGTGTGCCCTAATCTATCCACTGAATTTAGTAAGCATTGCAACCAAACTACAGGAAACCCCCATCATAACCTAAAGATTTTAGAAAAAGGCAGACAGACATCAAGATCGATGCCCACCAAGACTGAGGTGGCAAATTGAAGCACATTTCACACATGAATACTGACATTAGTTCCAGAATGTACCGTACCTGTCTTTGGGCATCATCAATAGCTGATGCCTTGAAAAAATAAGCATCGTTGGACCGGTTGTTGAATGAGTAGGTTGCAGTTTGTACAGCCTTTTTAACACCCGTATCATTCTTGCTGACGTTCAGTGGCTTGCCAGGAACCAGCCTACTCTCAAAGGCATCAGCTGACCATTTTTCTGGAAGATATTCAAACAATATGTCACTGCCTTTCATATGGAAGGACCTGCATTTAGTCTTAGTTACTGTTTGAGGCTAGATTTTAGAGTGGACCATTTCACAGACCATTTCTTCACATCATCACATCATCCCTCCTGAAAAAAGGCCATTAGAGCCATTAGGATTAAAACCTGAAGAGTTTGCATTCCAATGGGAATTGGCTTAATGGTAAAGAGACCACTATTTTCCTGTAGAACACCTTTAGATTTCATTGGGACATTAGGAAACCATCAAATGTGTCTGGAATCAATCTCACAACACCTGTTAAATCATTCACAGTGTGATATCAACCCATTAGGAAAGCACAAAACACTACCGATACTGGACAACACCAGGAACCAACAGAAACCTCAAATGGTTTCTATGAGGTTTTTTTTTAGCAGTTTGAAAAGACACCAAGTCCAAAGGCCAAAACAGCAGTTTTACCCAACAACATTGAGAAAACACACAGGAAGGAAAAAGTTAAGTGTGTTTTAATGGACTTCTTACCGATCGAGCAGAACCCAGCCAGAAGAAAGACAAGAAGCAAATGATAGTAGACGTCCATGTCTGTGCAACCTCTCAGCTTTGCTCAGCAACTTCCTGTGCAGCAACACTTCAACCACCCGCCTTAACTGCTGCAGTCCTCCACGTTGCACTATCATATGGGGCTTTGGTGAAGATTTAGACTACAGACTGCCTCCAAACAGCGTAGGTGAAATCAATTCATCGTGTTAACCGAGTACTTTGGGTCAGTGTTGGTTTCAGTATCCAGTATTGGGCAGTATTGGACTTTTGTTGAAGGTCACTACAGCTCTTCAGAAATAAAACGTGACATGAACTCACAGAAATGCTGTTTACTTATGCTGGTCTAGACGTTTCTGTTATTATAATCTGTGTGAACTTCAAAGAAACCATCAGTGAACAACACTGAATGTAGAGACAGAGTCTTATGTGACTATGAAAGCAGCCAACAGACCCCGGCGGTTTCCCCCCCACATCCTGCGCTCACAACCGCAGGGTTTCCACTGACTATAGCATTTCTGACCATGAGAGATATGACAGCAGAACGAGGCGAACTGCAGCCTAAACGAGCACAGCTCTTGCTTTTTGGCAGTAAAATTGCTCCTCACATGAATGAATACAGGGTTATGTGTCTCTAAAGCGTGTTAACAAGCCTTCCAGACGTGGCTTTGCTAGGTTAAAGGGGAACTCCACCGATTTTTCCACATAATTTCCACAAGTTCCACATAATTAAGCGGTTCAGATGTGAACAAGGTCATTCAGAGTGGTTTGGTGTGAAATGCTCAGTTCTAGAGAAATGTACCGAGTCAGAAGTGTTCACAGTGTTGGTGATAGGAACCAGACGTCCACCTCTAAAAGCTGCTTCCCAGAAAGATATTACAGAAAATGCTTACGAAGACGCTGCTTGATGCCTGAAACATCGTTTTACGAAAGATCCATATATTTTAATCCATTCTTAGTGGAGGGGTACATGCAGGGAGTTATAAGGCAAAATAGTCCCCAAGCAAAACGTATTTGTTTAGATAGTTTCAGATTTTCCTCTATGTAATCATCAACATTACATATAAAAACTCAAGAAGACACGTGTAGGTTCACTTGTGATTTTGGATAGTAAATAAAGTGGCTGTATTTGTGTCGTAGACATTGTGACCCCTGGTCCCTATCACTACCACTGTAAAGAAATCTGAGTTTGTAACTTTCTCTGCAACGAACCATTTCATAAGAAACCAATCTGAATGGCTTTGTTTGCTTCGCAACATCGGAATTATTTGAAATTCTGGAAAATTTGGTGGAATTCCCCTTTGACTAACCCTTACGCAAATCGGACGGACAACAATAGCAATCTTAGGGCAGCCCTCTGTTTTAAAGGCTTTTGTGAGAGTGTTTTAAGCCTAAATTGTTATTGTTGGTTAGGTTTTTTAACGATGTAATCGTTGTTGGTTTTATAATAGAATACTCCGTTAGCTAGCCCACGTTCATGTTTGTTGTTGCAGTTACATTTCTGTCCAGCAGGCGGAGCTGCGCTGCCGCTGTAATGCTGGCGCTGTGTGCCGCATGGGGAAAGATCGTGTTCTCGCTCTACTCTGTGGAAGGTAATTGCAGCTGTCAGATCTTGGATAGAGAAATATCCATTATTAAACAATCAGGAGGAAACTGAGAAAACTCCAGCGGCTGGAAGCTCGTGCGTGCGTTATCTAGATCCAGCAGCCCCGCGTCATGTAGAATGCGCCTAGAGATTCATCTCGTCCTCCCTCACACAGCTGAAATAATGTAGACACGAACACAATAAAGTGCTTTTCAAATGCCTTTTCAGGGGTGGGTGGAGGACGGCAGGCTATTTTGTTATGTTCTGTGTAGAACAGATAACACGGGGTATTCATGTCTCTGTCCATCTTCACTCCTTAAAGGGACACCCCGACCAAAATGGAAAATTTAACCAGCGCTCCGTCTGTTGTAAACAAGCCTACTGGCTGCTTACAGTGGTGCTTCCGTATCTCAGAAGCAAGATTTCATGGTTTAAAGATTAGGAGAGCCCCCGTCTGATGATGTATCTTGAAGGTGGAAGTCAATTTTGAAAGAGTACACTCTTAAAAAGATGGTTCTTCAAGGGTTCCTTAGCAAAGAAAATGGTTCCGAACACTCAGAGAACCTTTTGCATGATTAAAGGGTTCTTTACATCATGAAAGAGTTCTTCAGGTTGATGGAAAATGTGCTGTAGATGGCTTTATACAGAACCTTTTTCTTCAAAAAGGGTTCTGTACAGCACCCAAAAGGGTTCTTCTGTTGTTACAAGCTTGACATCGTAACAATAGAAGTACCATTTTTAGTGCAGTATAGAACCCTTTTCAAAAAGGTTCTGTAGAGAACCGTTTACAGCGAATTGCTAAGAACCCCTTCATGATGCAAAGAACCGTTTAAACATGCAAAGGGTGTTTTAAGTGTTTGGAACCATTTTCTTTACTAAAGAAGAACCATCTTTTTTAAGAGTGTGCAAGTGAGGTGAGGATGTGGTTTGTTTGTTTGTTTGTTTGATTGGTTGTTTGTTAGCTGGCTAATTCTTTAACAGAATTATTTTAAAACTGTTTATCCAATTGAGGTAAATACTAAATATAATGCAAGCGAGCAGTCCAGATGTGTATATTAGCCTCTATCAGTGGTCAGCACTCAGGATCATTGAGTGCTGTAGTGTTTGCCAGTGGTTGTGGGATGTATTTGCAGAATGCATACTGGATGAAAATACAAAATTATGAATCAAGTCAAACCGATTATGCTGAGGCGTACATTACTGCTTTACAAAATACTACATAACACAAAAAATTACATATTGATTGCTATTTTTTGGGCTATAACTGCCCTTTAATAATGTACTTAATAATGCACTTAACACTTCTCTTCAGAATTCCTGCTTCTTCTTTTCTACCTAACTTGGAGATCCACAAGAAACATGCATTATAGTCAAATCAAATGATCCTCCATCCTTTCAGCATTTTAAACCTGATCAATGGAAAAGAGTTTGTTCACGACAAACGTATTCATAGGTTTTTTAAAAGGCCTCCCCCTCCTCTCGACATCTTGGCTGGTAAACCTGGGTCACACCTGTCAAAAAGCACATTCACAGCTCCGAAAGTGGGAATTGGATCCAGTCGGGCCCGATCCCAGAGTGTGTGCTCCTCTCGCATGTCTTGTGTGATCGTGATTCAGCCTCTGCTTCTCCACTTCAGCATGAATTGGGTGCTATTTTTTGCTGTGCTGCGGTTGAAGAACGTGCAGCCGTAGCCTCCTCTACAGATGAGTGGATGAGGCTCACTAGCTCACTCTTGCTGAACCCCTGCCACCAAAATCCCTCTCCATCTGTTGTTTCTCGGCTCGTGCCCCAGCCGCCCCTCTTTGAGGGCTTTTGCTCTATTTTTTGAAGGCCGATCCTGGCAGGGTAACTCCCACCTAATGCTGCCAGGGACTGCTCTTAACTCACAGGCAGGTGACTGTCATAGTGTCAGTTTTACCGTTCATGTTTGTTTGATGAACTCTGTCAACCCTATTAATAAATATTACAAATATAGTAGGTAACATGCGCTTGTTGTCCCACCTGAAAGAATAGCTCTTCACTTAACTGCACTGAAATGCAAAATGTTGTTTAAGAAGTATATTCACCTTATGTTTGTGTTTATCTATAAGCCCTTCTTTTATGTAGCCTAATCTTGATTGGCTACAAAGGGATAAACTATGTTTCTAATAATTTTAATCTTAATGATTGATAATGTTTTAACCTACTGTTCCTTTTCATGTCAAACCTGTAGGCAAGCACTAATCGAAATGAGCTTCGGAAACAGTGACCCTTATACATCAAAGCTGTGTAGAAAGGAGTGCAAATTTGACTTCATTTAATGAACTACTCTGTGTCTGATTCATGAAACTTTTGCCCGACGTGGAAACAAGCAGCGATTTGAGTGCAAATGATGAAGTAGCCTCAGTGCGTGAAATCAAGCACCAACCTCATTTACATATCATTGACATGATGTAGGCCTTAATTCATGCAGATTTTTCAGTTGACAGCCAATAAAACGACACCATTCTGTAGTTTGTGAGCCAATGGCTGTGTCAAGGTGGAGTCTGGGGTGGAGCGCACTGTCCCCTCTACTGATCAAACTTTATGGTGGTAGAATTATGTCGGGTGAAAAATAAAATATGAAATAAACAAAACGTCTTATTTTTTTGTTGTTGGTTGGTGATTGTGTACTGTGATTATGTTCCTCAAATAACAATTAAACATTGTAATATTGCAGTGTGTGAGATGCGTCTGTACTAGCTGTCCTTTGCATTGTTTATTTTTTGGGGTCGATTCAGTAGTATAAAACAAAAGCACAGTGTAATATGACTTAATATGGAATGTGGAATAGTTGCAGCATTTGTTTATATCAATGTGCATGTAAAATAAGTACAACCACTTTTGTACTGGGTTGTCATCTGCACAAATTATTAGTATTATTAGTTTTTTTGTTATTTTCTGTTTTTATTTTTAATCTTATTATTGGTATTACAGATAATATTCATAATAGTTTTGGTTAGTTAACCGCAAAACAAGCTTTTTTTTAGGTTGTTAAACTATTATGCTCAAATTTGCACACTCCTGCCAGACAAGAGTTTGATCATACAGATACGCCGAAGATGAAACTGATGAATAACAAAACTTTCTGTGGAATTTGTATGCTGTTATTTTACAATCAGATTTGACCGTACACAATTTTGATGAATAAGGGTCAGCATGTTACAACATAAATGCAGCCGGTCTTGTCAGTTAGTTACATATTATTCACTTCCGACTAATCGCTTTTTTATCTAGATGTTGCTCACATCATCACATGGCTTGTCGCAACACTAAAGGTACCAATACTGTAGAAAGAAACTGAGTTTCTACAGAAAAGAAATCAACATATATCCAGCCCACAGACACGCCTACTGTATTGAAGCGCTATAGAGTATTTTTTAAACAGTCCAGTGAGTTTGAATTTATTTCTCCTTTAAGTATTCAGCATTAGGCATTAGAGCAGGCAGGCCTCTGGTTTCAGATTCAAATCCCTTTTTGACCTGCCAGACATTTGAAAAAAGCAGCACTCAGAGCTCTACCCACTGTCTTTAGCATCTGTTTTGAACTAACACTGATTTTAGGCTAACCTTTCAGACTTTGTACCAAATATGTTGGCTTTATACAGACTAACAAAGTATCATCCTCTGTAGATAACTGGTCGGTTTGCTTTCTTCACTCCTTAAAGGCAAATTTGCATATTAGTACTTGTGGCAAAGTGAGTAAACACTAATGGATTGTTATATTTTGTGTTATTCATGCCCTTTTAGTTGCTGAAGCAAAATTATGAATCACTGCTGGATGGTGTTCTACAGTTAGACTTGCAGTGGAGCCCCAAAACTGTGCAGGTGTAATATATTAATATATTTAGAGTTTG